TGTGTGTGGTGTGGTGTGTGTGTGTGTGTGTGTATGTGGTGTGTGTGTGTGTGTGTGTATGTGTGTGGTGTGTGTGTGTGTTATGGTGTGATGTGTATGTGTGGTGTGTGTGTATGTGTGTGTGTTGTCCATGTGTGGTGTGTGTGTGGTGTGTGTATGTGTGGTATGTGTGTGTGGTGTGTGTGTGTGGTATGTGTGGGGTGTGTGTGTGTAGTATGTGTGGTGTGTGTGTGTGTGTATGTGTGTGGTGTGGGGGGTACATGTGTGCTTGTGGAGGCCACAAGCTGACATCAGCTGTCCTCTGCTGCTCTCCACCTTCGTTTCTGAGGTGTCTCTCGAGGAGCCTACAGCTCACTGGTTTGGATAGACTGGCTTCCTGTCGAGTCCCCAGGGGTCCTCCTGTCTCATCCTACTCAGCACTTGGGTTCTAACGTGGTTGCCACAGTTGTCTGCTAGGGATCAAACTCAGGTCCTCGTGCCTGTGGGCAAGCACTTTACCAACTGAGCCATCCCCCTACTCTAAAACCAAGATCTGGCATTCCTGGGTGGACTCAGTCACCAACATTTTGCTTAACAGTGCTCACTTTTTTAAAAAATTTATTTTTATTTGTATTGGTGTTTGCCTGCATGTATTTCTGTGTAAGAGTGTCAGATCTTGGTGTTACAGACAGTTGTGGAATGCCATGTGTGTGCTGGGAATTGAACCAGGGCCTCTGGAACAATAGTCAGGGTTCTTAACCACTGAGCCACCTCTCCAGCCCCTCATTTATTAAAGAGGACTGTCCTCATTTCATTTTTATTTTATTTTAGAGACCTTCTCACTATGTAGTCTTGGCTGGCCTGGAACTTGCTGTGTAGACTGGGCTGGCCTCTGACTCATGGAGCTCTACCTGCTACAGTCCTCCCCTTTTCCCAGAAGCTGAGGCTTTGCACACACTATGCAAGTGCTCGCCCACTGGGCTGCATCCCAGGCCTCTGCTATGCTTATCCTCACAGTGCTAAAGGTAGGACTGCCTCTGTCCGCATGTGGTTGCAGGTCACCATGCTGACACTGGAGAGAGCATGGCAACTATGTACAAGCGATGCTACTCCCAGTCTTAATTTGATAAGCCAAAGCTTGCCGCCTGGCACTTTTAATACCCTGTGTCATCCAGAATGAACCAAAGTACTTGTTCCCATGTCCCTTGTCAGAGAGGTAGGCACTGAGGCCTGTGTAGGAGAGGACAGCCATTAGCGCCTGCTCTGTGGCTCCAAGCACCAATTCTAATTTCTTTCCTCCCATTTAGAGTTTGTGTTGTCTCCATTGTGGTCAAGCTGCCACTCTTCAGATCCCTTAATGAGTCAACTTGTTCATGTTGAATCTGACT